AAGGTGGTTTAGGGGGTTCCTGCCTATTCTTCATGTAAGCTTGCTTACCTTTCTCACTGAATAACTCGGTGAGATACCCTTATTTTAATAAATGATCAACTTCACTTTGTAAAAATCTACAGTCTGCTGTTTTATGCCCGTGATCATTATGAAACTCACACCAATGATCAGGGTTGCGCCTGTTTGGATTCGATATCATCTCTTTTGGCCACCGTACCTTGTCACCCATGCTTCTCAAAACAGCTACGAGCTCGGAAGTGCTCACATTGAAATTGTAACCTCCAAATCTCGCCTTCAAATTTCTATCATCATCTCGTGACTCATGGGTTTTTCGATCATTCCTAAACCTTGATGAAGAGCCTGACTCTCTATTCTTTGATCTATGATCATACCTTTGATTGTCCTGTTTTGACCGTGAATCTTTTCCGCAGGTCCCATGTATGGCTCTTACCTTCTTTTACCGGACTTTTTTTCAGTTTTCGCCCATCTCGAACTTACTTTTTCTTCTTTTTGGAATCGTGGAACAATATCTTCTTCTATCCTTAGCTTCGTGCTATACCTGTTGTAAACGTCATTCCATGTTGTAGCTGGGAATTCACGAAGACTTTCTTTGAGTCGCCTCGTAGCTTCTGAGCTCTTTTCATTCAAATTACTTGTGAAAGTTATAGCTGCCCAATTATCAGGTACATGTGGTAATGTCATTCTTTCACATTGAAATCTATCCACGAACTCCCCAAGCAATTCTGAGTCCCCTTGCTTGATCTTGAAAATATCTTCCATTCTTTTTTCGAATTTTTGAGCTCCCGAGTGTGCTTTGATGAAAGAATCGGCAAGCTTATCAAAAGAATTTATAGAATTTTCGGGTAAAAGAGAATACCTTGGCAATGCACCCTTGGTGAGTGTTTCACCAAATATTTTGACTAATATTGATTCAATCTCTTGCTTGGTCAAGTCGTTGCCTTTTACGCTTGTTGTGAATGCAGTCACGTGGTCTCGTGGGTCTGTTATTCCATCGTATTTTGGAATAGCAGGCATTTTGAATTTCTTTGGAATTGGGAGGGGATCAGCACTTGGCTTCCAGGGTTGTTGCGGATATTTATCCGTATCTATCCCTTTGATTATGGACTGCACCCCGGGTATTTGCTCTATGCGGTCACTTTGCTCCTTGAGCTATTTCTGCAATGTTAGTACTAAATTTTGTAAATCAGAATTGACTAAGTTACCTAGTTCTCCCTCCTGTGATTCGCTGGGGGTACCACCACTACCTTGAATTAACAAACCCGCAACGAGGGTTCTCCAAAGTGTTGTTATTTGGAGTGGGTATGGGTAGTGCATCAAGTAACTGGCTAGCAAAATCCTCAAGAGCTTTATTGACCTGTGCAACAATTAGTTTCTGCAAAGCTTCATCGATAGCTTCAACATTTTCAAATTGAGCGTTTCCATTTGTATGAGATCCATCAGGAGAGCCTTCATGAGACTGCCAAGGAGAGCCTCGTGGAGAAGGGACCGGGGTTTGATTACCCTGTGGATTTCCCTGAAGTTGTTGGTTTCCTTGAATGTTGTCATTGTTGTTCGACATGGTTGATGCAACAAGGAAAGTTAAGCTAAAAGAGGATAGATTATCAGATTTCCGGCAACGGAACCAATTTGTTTAACCAAAAAATGGGATTTCGGTCAAAACTTTAATTTAGAAGAATTCGGGTTACTGATAAATCAAAAGAATATATGAAAGAAAGTAATTTGGCTAGCAATAAGATAATCAGAAGAAAAGCAAGTAAATCGGTATATTCAGATAGTATTTCGTGTCCCTACAATTGATCCGTTCTCTCCCTTTTATAGCTATTTTGGAGATATGCGTTTTGCCTTTGTCATAATAAGGTCATTATGGACAATTAAAGACATTAAATGCTACGTTACATAATCATTGTATTTAATACAGATTCTCTATCGTTTTTAGTATTTAAAGCTCATTAAATACTGTATTTGTACTCCCATGTAGTGTCAGATTCATTCCCTTGATTCTTGGACTTAAATAAGTATGAGCGCTGAGTCTTTTGGATAACCGCTCGTGCTTCTTCCTTTGCCTCTGCTCATATCTGTTGCAACTCGTGCCTCTTTGCAAGTTGTAACTCTTTGACCAGTCTATGTGTCATGACACGTCATGTTTATATCACTTTAATATGTAAACTCAATTTTTCCCAATGCATCTATATGGTCTTTTGGGTGTATATACTCATAGCTTTTTAACACTAAGATTGGTTAACTAATGAGTATGTTTTTGGTTCTTAGGTTACTATATACCACAATTTACATTATTGCTGCTTGACTACAACAGAAAGCCCAATGTTAAACCATCAACCTTAAATCGATTGCAGTAATGTTTACATTACCCTTGAACCACCAAAGCATGTTTTCATCTTTTAACTATCTGTTGATAACTATTTCACTTTCAAATCTTCACTTAGTCCAATGGCTCTTCAGCTGGGGAATCCACTGCTAGATATTGAAATAAGCGTGAAGTCCGCTGAATATCTATGGTCACATGGTGTCATTTCTGATGAACTGCTTGATATGCAAAGAACAATCTGTAATGAAACAAGGTATGTGCTGGAGTATATACGTAATGAGACATCTAACGAATGCTCGAAAGTGTGGGAACTCAGAACGGAGGAGATGGGAAATGATACAGTGAAGGATGATATTCTTTTGCCAACATGTGTAACCTCTAATACAGCAGGACAATTACAGGCCCTTGGAAATCTTGCCATAATGCATGAAAAGGTATGAAAACAAATTCCACGAGAACCATGATTAGGACATAATTCAACTATTTGCAATTGGAGCTAACTTGTTGCAGCTATTTTTTTGACAGCTCGATAAGAAAGTAGGAACAGTTGCTGATCCATGCCTTACTGAGTGGAGTGATCTGTACCTTAACAAGCCAGAAGTTCAGAAGGCGCTACATGCCAATACCACTTTCCTGCCGTATGCCTGGGAGATTTGTTCAGGGTAGGTTCTCTCCGTCCCGTTACTATCTCATGCACTAAATTCTGTTATCGCTTTATCTAAAATCATAAACTATTAAACAGAGAATAGTTTTATTTATTTAGTGTTTGTAACACCCTTTACTTTCTCATCTGTTTGTTGCCTGTGCATTTATAAAACAAGTCTGTTAAAATCTCTGAAAATGCAGGCCCCTTCAGTATAGGCTAGATGATGGTGGTGTAAACATTATACCTCTACTGTCAAATATTCTAAAAGAGCATATCCCAGTTCTGCTTTTCAGGTTAGTTCATTACTAAATACGAAGTTCCTACACTCAAATTTCCTGCTAACTTCACAATTCTAACAACTACATAGTCTTTACTTTTTGGGTTTTGTTAAAAGCTACTAATCTAAAGTAAGATTGTGCATGTTTTGCTTTTTCCAGTGGAGACCAAGATTCAAAACTCCCACTGACCCAGACTAGGAAAAATTGCTAAACTGCTTGCTCGAGATTTAAAGCTAGTTGCTTTTGACAAATATGGTCCTTGGTATGATGGCTTTCAGGTATGTTCCCCTATTCCCATAGTACAATGTAGCCTTAGATTGGAAACATGCGTATATATAATTTGTTGTTTAATTGCAGATTGGAGGATGGAGTCAATCATTTGGAGGGTTAAAGGAAGGCAAGAATGTTACATATTTAACATTTGCTACAGTAAGAGGTGCAGCTCATGAAGTGCCCTATACATCTCCTTCACAAGCTCTTACACATTTTAGAGCATTTTTGGGAGGACATCCTCCACCACGTAAGAGCAGCACTATTACAGCCTCAGCTGTATAATCGGATCTATCTGATGAACCTCCATTCCACTGTTCTCTAGATTGCAAGAACCTATTCTCAAGCTTTATTTTGTTATCTTTGTCTTGCTTTTTTTTCCTGTGTGGATTTTAATATAACTTGGCCGGCCCTAGGTTTTACCTAGAGCCCCAATGATTGATTTATACAAAAGGGTAGTCCGGTGCACTAAGCTCTCACTATGCTCGGGACCCGGTGAAGGGCCGTACCATCGCTTCTGATTATGTTGGATCATCGCTTCTGATTTGTTTCAAAATTTTGAAGAAAAGTTTCTGCCAAAAAAAAAACAGCTTTCATCAAGAATAATTTTTTTTAATCAAACACCAACCAAAAAGTATTTCATTTTTTGAATAACTGGAAAATTATTCAAAACTAGTTTTTTTTTTTCGCCAAAACTGAAAGACTTCTTGGTGTTTGGTTGAAAAGCAGCTTTTGCAAAAAAAAAAAAAAAAAAAAAAAAAAAAAAAAATTCTTTTCCAAAACTTCATTTTCACAAATACCAGTACATCTTCAAGGAAAAAGGGCAGGCCGGTGCAAAATGCAGCGGCTGAGAAACGATCCCACGCCCCAGTACATCTTCAAGATTTTTGATAATTGAATGGTAATCCACCAGTATGGGTTGATTCTCATCGTGTCCATCCTTTCCCCTTCCTCTTACTCTATGCAAATGTTACCCACAGAGGTGTATTTAGAATTTTTCCAAGGGATTCAATTCCACATATGAAGAAATAAACGGTAAAATATTCTGAAAAAGGGGTTCAAAGGAAAATTTTAAGGATAGTTATCTTCAAGTAGGTTTCTGCTCTCTACTGGCAGCCTCGCTGAGTGCCCGGATCACAACAGGACAAAATGTCTGCTTATCCATTATGAAAATATTAAAATACAAAAAAAAAAAAAAAAAAAAAAAAA